CTGTACTTCAGCCACACTGTCCATCTGCTCTTTAAGACATAGTGAAAAGATGGCTCAGGGTTAGGAAGACGAGGCTCCCAGCCCAGCCAGAGACTCGAAGGGAGAGGAGCGCTCGTCCTCCCTTGAGGCGGAGCCCTGGCAGCTCTGACCCACACTAGGGAGCCAGAGGGGCCATGGCTGCTTACCTGGAACACCATTATCAAATGGGTAACTGGCCACCAAGGCGCCACCATGCAGGTTTGCAGAGAGGACAAACGTCTCCGATTTCAGCCACTTCATGACTGCCAGGGTTTCAGGCTGTCTTGGTACATTATGGTATTCAAAAGCATCTAGGAAATTTCTGTTCAGTTCATACTGGTTATAATTTTCCCTTTAAAAGAAAGAATTGTGAGGGCTTAATGATGGCCCATAAGGGAGGTGATGCTGGCTGTGCCTGGACCTTTGACTCAGGCTCCAGGTTCTTCGCTGTGTGTGATGCTCTGCGTGGCCTCCCAGGTGAGGCTTTTCACCAATAGGACATTAGCTGTTGTGAAGCAAACAGAGGCTTGACAACAATTTTCATTTTGGGATTTTGTCCTGTTAGAGCTCAGATGCTCCCATGCTGGCCACATGGAGAGTCCCCACAGCAGAGTGAGGAGCCCAGGTGACAGCCAGAATGAGACTCAAGCCACATGGCCTTGGGCTAAGGCCAGACAGACCCAGACTGAGGCCATGATACTGGTACAAAGACTGGCCAGTCCTGCTCTGTCCGCCCAACCTCCTGATTTGCAGAACCGAGAGCAAATAAAAAGGCTGTGTTTGAGCTGGGGAGATAGCTTGGCCGTCTAAGTGCCTGCCTGGCAAGCACAAGGACCCGAGTTAGATCCCTGGTACTTCATGCCACATCAACCCTGGAACCCCAGGTGTCCTGAGCTGGCCCCAGAATCCCAGATTTGTGGTGCACATCTGTCATCCCAGTGCTGGGGATGTTGACACAGGAGGATCACTATGAGTCCGAGCTGTGTAGTGATACCTGAGCCAAATAAAATTCAATGATTTTTTTGTTGTTGTTGTTGCTTTAATGTCTGTTGTGTTATATCACCAATTCTGGGTGGTTCTGTTAGCAACTGATAACAGTAGTGGAGGGAGCAGATGGGCAGGTGTGAGGGGCTTGATTATTGTCTCTCTCCTCCAGGCCTAATGGCAGCACACAGGCTCACAGGCGCCCATAAAGTTAGGCCAGGGCATCTTTACCTTCCATTGCTGGAGTAACAGTCAGGCTTCCGGACAGCTTCAAATCCATCTGGGTTCATTGAAGGCATAATGTGTATCCAGGTACTGTTGATTAGACTTGTGACTTCGAGGTCTTTGCCATGTCTGGTTACGAGGTAGTCGATTAGATGGAGTAGCAGCTCTCGTCCCACAGTCTGGGTGTGTAAGAGAAGAGGGGCGTCAGGTAACTCTCAGGGTGTGTTGTGAAGTGTTGGCTAGTTAAAGTTAAAATACTCATTTGTGAATAACATACCTTTTTTTTTAAATTCCCTTGGTTCTGAGGACAGAGCGAAAGTCCTTACAGCAATGTTTTCCACTGGCTTGCCTTCCAGAATACTTTGTGAGAGAAGGGAGAGGAGTCCTGAAGGCAGGGAATCACACCGCTCCGTGTGCCTGGGGGGCCTGGAAAGCCATTTTCACATTAACAATTGTAGATTTAATAAGCATAATCTGCACAGGCTGCTGACCTCCACATTCTCCTACTTACACATGCTCCGGTGTGTTGGGGCAGTTTCTGCCGTGTCTGTGTGTGTTTCTGATTTTGCATTCTCATGCTTCTAAAAGCATGAGGAACTTTGATACCATCTTCACAAGTTTTGCTACATGTACGTATTATAAATATACTATTATTTACTTTCTACTTTAGATGTGCTCATTTTTTGCTTATGTTAATAAAATTTCATGTCATTACTACTTTGCTAGTGATATATATTTCTAATATATATGAGGGAAAGCCTGATTAAAATGATAGATATGTATAATATTATATTCATTTATTCAGTTTTTATTTTGAGACAGGGTCTTGCTCTGTATTATAGGCTGGCCTTCATCTATGAAACCCAGCTGGCCTCAAGCTTATGGCAGTTCTCCTGTCTTAGTCTCCTGAGTGCAGGGACTGCAGGCAGGCACCACCTTGCTGAGCATTAAAATTTCAACTGTTATCTTGACTTAAAATTATCTTCTGTACCACCAAAGATTTAAAAATGAAAAAAATGTGATTTTCCTTTATAATACAAGAAATTTATTCTCTCTTTTAAATTTTTTGAAACTCTAAGCATCATTAAATATTTTTAATTTTTAAAATATTTTGTTTATTTGGTACAGGGTATTGCTACATAGGTTGGACCCATAGTGATCCTCCTGTCTCAGCCTCCCTAGTGCTGGGATTACAGGCGTGTGCCACTATGCTCGGTTTTGGTGGCTGGCAGGGCATGCCCAATGTTCCAGTGCCAACATCTCAAGCAGTATTGGGGATCAAACCAGAGTCCTTGGCGCTTGCCAGGCAGTCACTTACGCTACTGAACCATCTCCCAGCCCTCTTTTTCCTTCTTTCCTTTCTCTCTTGTTCTTCCTTTCCCTCTTTCCTTTTCTTAGCCTGCCTGCCCTTCATTCATTTACCCCCCTTTCTTCATAAGATTATAAGCTATCAAACTTTATATATTTATTGACTGATGTCAAAGTTTTTCATCATCTTTTTGTTAACTTTATTCAATTATTTTGTACAGGGTCTCACTAGGCAGCTCAGACTTGTAGTGATCCTCCTGGTTCAGCCTCCCCAGAACTGGGATTACAGGTGTGTGCACCACCTCACTGGGTCTCAGTGGCGGGGCATGTGATACTGGGGATAGTTTTTCTTAACTTTAGAAAAACTTTTGGTAATTTTTTTATAAAAAGTCACGGTAAAAGTGAATAAATATAAGTGCAGTTCAGGTAAATGTGACACACACATTTAGCTTAATTTTGGATCATTGACTGTAGTTTTCCTGTGGAGCAAGCCAGGAGCAGAGTGAGGCTTTGGGGAAGGTGAAGGGGACAGAGTTGCTACCCCTAAACAACCTGAGAAGTGGTGGAGTAAGGGAAAGGCAGAGTCTTATTCTGTGTGAGCTGTCACCAACACTTCCCAAAGTGACGAGATGTTTGGTTCATTGGTTAGGAGTCTGCATAAATTAAACTCAGAATCAGGGTCTCTACAGTTCACCATTCTAATGTGTATAAAGCGGGGCCAAGAGAAATGCTGCTGGCCTTGCTACAGTGGGACCTAGGCCACAGATGCATGCCATGGGGCGTTGGCTGTGAGCTCTGCCAGGTGATTCTACAGCATTGTGACAGACACAGCTGGAGCCTCTGGATCCTGCTGCGGCTCCCTGTCAGGGAGAAAAGGGCAGAAACCACACATGCATGCATGCACGCGCGAGCACACACACACACACACACACACACACACACACACACACACACAGATGAGGTCCAGGGTAGAGAGGAACTCTACTCAGTGCTCTACCTCCTGTTGGGATTCTCTGCATGAAGTCTATGAACTTCTAAAGATCCACTGACCTTGAAGTTGGAGGTCCAGTTTGAACTGGTATGGCATGAGTATGTTCCAAGATGGTTAAGAGCCCCTGCCCTACCATGTTAGCTATGTTGTTCTTGGGATTGAAAGCTTTGGAAAGCTTCAGAACACATTAAAAATGCATTCACTTCGAAAAGATCTAAGGGGAACTAGGTGTGCTTAGAGCGACTACTGAGTTCTGGTCTAAGACATCTCTGTCCCCAGCTCCTAACAACAATGGGAAAACCAAATCTCAAATTCAGAATAGCAATTTCTTTTTTTATGTATTTGGGTCTCACTCTACAGCTTAGACTCATAGTGATGCTCCTGTTTTCAGCCTTCCCAATACTGGGATCACAGATGTGTGCCACCATGCCTGGACTTGGTGGCCAGCTCAGCTCCCCTGTGGGGAGGGCCAGCCCAGCAGGTGGTGCTGGGGATCGAGCCCTGGCCCCTGATCTTGCGTAAACAGGCACTTAGTCCACTGAGCTATGTCACCAGTCCTAGAATAATACATTTCTTAGCAGCCTCACAGAGCTGCAGATACTCCATGCCATCGACTGGAGCACAAAGGGGCACCTGTGCTTCAGATCCCCCGCCCACAACGCTGAGACTTTTCTCTCTACCCGTCAGTCCTTGGCATTCTTCAGAATCTGAGTGCTTCAGGGAGTCTTGACTTGACAGGGAACATGATCTACCCAGAGAAAAAAAGATTCCAGAAATCTGGGCAAATACATGGAAAGAATAAACAAATCTGGGGGTGAGAACAAAGTCCCTTGCTTATATTTAGTAAATTCACTTCTGAGGATTAATTTCTGAGTAGCAGACTGCAATCTCTGATATGTCACAAATTAAATAAATGACTGAAGGCAGAAAGTGCCCTCTGTCTCTTAGTAAAAAATAGAATCCAAGGGACCATGGTCTGATAGACTGGACAGCAAAAGTAAGGGAAGTCCTAGCTGCTGTGTGTAGCAGACAGTTGTTTTTACTAAAACCAACTTTCGTCAACTGTCGCACTCAAAAATCACTGCTGGACTTCATCCAGCCCACACCAGTAGGAAGACTCTCTCCTCCCTTGGAGGCAGGTGTGTGCCTCATAGCTCTCAGGACAAGTTGGGCAGCATGCCTAGCCAGGGCAGGCTGTGAATGTCAGAAGGGTAGAGCCAGTACCTAAAGAGCTTGGGTCTGGAGAAGGTCAAGTCAGGGCAGGGAGCTCGGCATGGATACAGGTCACCTAGACAAAGGCAAATCTAGAGTGTTTTGACAAGTCAGTGGGTGGTCAGATTGGCTTATGAGTTACCTGAAAGTCTTTCAAGAGAAATGTGTTTTATAGAGGATGCTCCACAGATTCCCATGTTAATTTTCTTTATTATAGTGATGGGAAAACTTCTTTCCTTCTCCTTGGCGGTCTAAATGTATGGAGTCCTGGTAAACACAAGTACTGCAGTCATCAACTTCTTAAAATAGTCTAAGGAACTAAGGCAAGAAAGAATGGCTGGGCAGGTAAGAGAAGTTCAAGGGTATTTTGTAAAATAAACTAAAAATTGAATTGACCTCTTCTAACTAGGAAAAGTTACAAGATGTTGTTAAGGAATTGAAGAATGTTTGATGAATGGTAGGTGTTAGAGAATTCTAAATGTGATTGCCTAAATGTATCAAGACTACTGAATTTTAGATGAAAAAGAGTGATAAAAGAATTCAGCCAAATGTCAGGAGTTTGATAGGTACTGGGTTTTCTGATTGTTTTGAGTTCAAGCGATGGTGCTTCTGGACTGGATCTGCTGAAGGCCAAGGAGGAGGTAGGAGAATCAACGCAGGGAGAGTTGGAAGGCATCCTCTGGCAGGGCTTCTGAGCTGGGGGCCATTATTCTCCATCCCCAAACAGAAAAACAGGGCCAGCCAGATAGCTCAGCAGACTAAAGCACCTGCTTAAGCAGAGTGCAGGGACCCGAGTTTGATCCCTTGTGTGCTGCACTGGCCCCGTCCCCAGGGTGCACTGAGACGGTGATTGAGACTGGGCATGGAGGCATGCACATGTAATCCCAGTGCTTGGGAGGCTGAAAACAGGAGGATCATTAAGAAACCAGTCTGTGCTGTGAGACCCTGTAAACCCTGTACTAAATATATTTAGAAAAAAAAATCCAACTCAGGCTACTCTACCAGGCACAGCCACATGTCTCCGGAATCAGGCTCCTGAACGACTGAACACTTGCTGAAGGTCCCAATCGGAAGGGGCTTTCAGGGCCTCGCTTCCTTGCTGCAGTGCTTGAGACTTCGGCATGCTTCCTCTTCAGCATTTACACAGAGCCCTTCAAGGACCTGAGGGCCACATCCCCAGTGAGGACCCAGAGCTCACACCACGGACCTACCTCATCTCCGTGCATATTTGCCATGTATTTGAATTCTGGGATTCCAACTCTGTGCTCCCTGGGAAACTGACCAACAACAGGACCCACATGTCTCTACTTTCACAGGGAAGAAAGAGAGAAAAATATGTTGTCTCATAAAATGGTAAATGAGCTTTGCAGGAGACGACCACGTGGCTCCTCCCACTGATTACTAGGTTACATCGAACTTATTTTTCCAAAATGTTTATATGTTTTGCTATGACATCCTAGACCTTCATACAAACAATCTTCCTAAGGTACACAATTATACAAAGCATAGTTGATGGTTGGAAGAGAGCCATAACTTACACTGCAAACAAAGTAAAAAAAAAAAAATGGCAACAGCAATAAAACACTTATTGAGGAAGAAGGTTTTTGTTGTTTTGTTTTGTTTTGTTTTGTTTTAATTAAGAAATCCTGAACCTTCTATCCAAATCCTGATGTGACTTGGCTTCTCAAACTGACACTGGCCACCTCTGGCCTTGACCAGAGTCGGTATACAAAGGTCAAAGCAGTTACTTTGAACAACCTGATCCTCTGTCTATTAAAATCAGTGCCTTTGATGTATGCAATTTCCTTCTACTAGAAACTACAACCCATTCTGACAATGCCAAGGAAAACATCAAAATCCCAGCCCTGCATTAGGCCATGATTTGGGTAGGGAAGGGTAGAAATAAGAGTAAATGGTTTGGTCTGTGTAGATACTGCAGTGGTACTTTGGGCCGTGTAATCCCAAGTAATCCCTTGTAGTGACTCCTGGAGATGGGTTACTAACCAGACTTTACAAATGAGAGAACCAGCCTTCTAAAATATCAAGTACATAACTTATAGTCACAAGGCTATGATTTGAGTCTCAGAACCAAGAATTGAACCCTGGCCTTCATGACTTCAATTCTAGTACTCCTACTAACAAAAGTTACCTGTTTTTCAAGGGAATTGTGTAAAAATGAAAAAAGTTCCTTTGGATTCTAAAATTGAATGACATCCTAAATCAGAGTTTAAAAGTAGGTATCAAGATATATTTGCTATCTATCATGTACATAGAAAGTTCAAATATCTATGACTCTCAGTATTATGTAGAATCAAGAGCCCCCACAAGAAACTTAACAGTAATCAAAGGGCTAATGTTGAGTGGATTTTGCAGAATGTCAGATCTGGTTTCTTTTTGCTTTTTACATTTTATTTTGAGAGAAAGAAAAGTTGCCAAGATGGCTTCAAACTAATGATCCTTAGGCCTCACCCTCAGATCTAACTCCTTAAATCCAAGAATCCACAAGCTAGAAAAGACCTACTAGCCATTAGGAACTGGAGAAGGAGCAGATACTAGAGTTGCCCTTTGCACTACATATCCATAATTAGAAAAACATTCTAGGGAAATCAGTCAGGACAAGTGATTATTTAAATCTGGTCACTGCAGGGATTATTGCAAATGGAGCTTGTGTGACTGATGTTCCTTGTGCAGTGGTCATTCATCTGTTTGTTGATTTATGGAAACTATGATGTACAGTCATTCAACCTGGATCAAACTGGATCAAATGTGCCATACCCAATAAATATTTGGGAGTTGCTTGGGAGTGAACTTGGCATACTAAGACCTTGCTTAGCAGTGAGCTATGTCCCTAGCCCCTCAATTTCTGATCTAGTGAAGAATAGCAACACACAAACCTGATCACACCACCGAGTGACATGCCTAATCATAAAAGGTGGAGGGGCTATTGTTGTAGGGGTACAAGGAGAGGATAAATGGTCATCTTTTCCAAGATGGGATGATGAAATGCTTCACAGATGTATGATTTTACAGATGGTACTTCTGAACATTGTTCTAAAGAATGATTTTGGGTTTGCCACGTGGACACGTAACATTCTTCGTGATCATCACCCACCACAAGCATCTGATTCATTAGGACCTTCCACGCCCCTACCAAGTATTGATTCTGTGGTCACATTTTTAAAATGTATTTAGTACAGGGTCTACGGGGTCTCACTACACAGATCAGACTCATAGTGATCCTTCTGTTTTCAGCCTCCTAAACGCTGGGATTACAGGTACGCACCACCACACACAGTCTTCTCTGGTCATCTTAAACTTCAGCCTGACAGAGTTGACATTTTCATGCGAAACAAGGCAGCAACTTTAGGAGTAAGGTGCTAACCTTGGCTCTTTTAGTTTCCTTCTGGGGAATACTTTCCTATAACCATTAGTGCTTTTGAAGTTAGAATAATGACAGATTTATACAAAGCATGGTCTTCCCTCAGAGGCAAGAGAAAAACCAAATATTATATCAACACAGTTTTGATCAATTGTTATTTATAACTGTTGAGTCTGTCAAGATGGCTCATTACAGACAGGATAGCAAAAGAAAACACAAACCTTACTTGACATAGGAATACAGTATTATTTAGTTTAAGGAAGGAAATTGAACCAAAGTGAAGGAGTACTGTGGGGGTAACACAATTTTAGTTCAGAACTACTGAACTCTAAGGAGCTCACCCTGAATGACTTCAGTGGCACCAATTCTGAAAATGAAAATCAACCACTAGCCCAAGAATCCTTTAAGAACACCAGCCTCTTCAATCAACCCTGGTGCCTCTGGAGCATCGTAGGTACACAAAAGATAAAGCATTTACTTTTAACAACCTGACTGCCAAATAAGGGTGACTTATGCAAGACTTTTCTTCTACTACCAATGATGTAAAGCTCACTTTATTCCCCAGTATTCCAGTTATTTTTTTAATTTTATTTTGTATTTTAAGACAGC